CTTTCCATGCTTCAAAATTCTTACCTACTCTGGCGTTGAAATCACCAAGGATAATGATCTTATCCTCTGTAGGCACCTTTTGGGTAAGACGGCACAGGTCAGTGTAAAATTTATCTTTTTCAGCAGGGTCAGCTTGGAGAGTTGGGGCATATATACTAAAGAGGATGACGGTTGTTGTGGAGTGGAAGGCGTAGGGAGATAATGCAGTCAGAGTGACCTGTTGGCAGATTTTCGAGTTTGGGAAGAATAGAGTTTTTGATCATGAAGCTGACACCTGAGAGATGTTTTTCAGTTCTGGGCTTACCTGACCAAAAGAGTGTATAACCAGTACCACGTTCTCTGAGACTTCCTTCCTCGTGAAGGCGAACTTCACTAAGAGCAGTAATGTCGATGTTGAGACGAACCAGTTCATGGGCAATTAGGGCAGAACGTCGCTCAGGACGTCCGCTATCCGCAGAATCAAGCATGGTTCTGATGTTCCAACATGCTAGAGTTAATTTAGGTACACCTTTGGAGGCAGGTGTATGCCTTTGTCTTTTGATCTTTGTGCGACCGCATTGGAAGAAGATGCCCGTTGGTCTGAGGTTAACCAACCGGGTGAAAGTGGAGATGAGCTTTGTTTAGACCACCTTTTCTAGGCCCCTCTCCAAGTGGAGCAATCAGTGCTGTCCTTGAAAAGGCTGCTTGGTCTTTCAGGGTGCTGCCCCAAGAGACTGTCATCTCCGGTCAGTCTCAAATGATCAATATCCTGAACCGCCTGCATGCAGGGTTGGGTCTGCGGTTTCCAGTGCACCTTTCACCTGCTGTTTCGACCCTCGCCCGTCGCTACAGGACTTTTTGCATGTGGGTAAAGCCTTCAAACCTGCGCAATGGATTTTTAGGTGAGATGCAGTATGCGCGGAACTGAACCCACCCTTTAATCCTGAGGTTCATCTACCAGGGTCGAGCGAACTTGGACGGTGGTAGCCAGGTCCTCAGGACACAGTTTTAATTAGAGTGACTTTCTCTTGGATGGCCTTACGGGGCTAAGCAAGCTCTATCTGTCCTGGTTTGGGATTAGAGTTGTCCTTCTCCTAGGATGACTGCCAGAAGGCTAACGAGCTCATCCTGCCCACACATGCTGTTTTTACCTGTCTGTCATGGGCGACCCTACTGAAGGCATGTACCATCGCCAGCATAGCTCACAACCACATAGGGGCACACAGGCTACGTTCCTGTTAGAACGGTTTGGGTAAGTCTTTGATTTCCTGCTTTACTATCACCTATTTATATACAATCATAAGGAACAACCCTTTGTCCTGCCCACCCTTTCAGGACGTAACAGAGCAAAGCAAATATATCCAGAACATGCCGAACCTGGGCAGTAGCCACAGGTGAGCCAAAAACAAACAGACAAACAAACCGACCAACCGTTCTGGCCCCGGTACACATCCAAGGCTGGGGTGCCTTTCAAAGTCCCAACTTGGCTGGGACCCCCATCACTCTAAAGGAACCCCACTATCCACCCTGACCGTATCCTTCCTCCACTGTGTTACCATGTATCTTCAGGCGCACTGCTCACCTGTGACACTTCATACAGGAGTGCCCTGCTCTCCCTCCCGCCAATCAGAGGACCCCCATGGCCCACTCGATACCCCTCCCCTCTCTTTCCCCACCCCCACTCCCCTGTACCCCCCCTCCCATCCCCCGTACCCCCCCTCCCCCTTCCCCGTCAAACCTGGAACGGTAAACCTTTGTGTGCTCCAAAGTTGCTCTCTCCTCCTCCACGGGCGTGCAGCAACTGCCGGCAAGGTTCCCTCACTCTCTCTCTCCCCTCTCCTGTCGCGGCCGCGCCGGGGGGGGACTCCCGGGGGACTCCCAGCCAGCCCTGGACCCCACCACACACACGCAGCCAGCCCGGGACCCACCACCCACACACGGCGCGGGGGGGCACCCCCAGCAAGCCGGGACCCCACCACTCACCCGCGGCACCGGGGGGGGGACCCCCGCGGGACTCCCAACCAGTCCCGGACCCCACCACACACACGCGGTCAACCCGGGACCCACCACTCCATGCTCATAAATAATAACCCCTCTGTATATGGTCATATCTAGACAGAAGTTGATACTGTGATGCTGAGAGTAGCCTGCACTGTGACAAGCAGAGTACAGGCGAAGTGGGAACATATCAAACACAACACTGTGTATGGGAACCGTACAAGTTCTGTGTCATGTGAACTTCTTGTCTACCTGTGGAAAACAAGGTGGGATTTGTTGTGAAGTTGAATCAGTATAGACAAAAGATCTCAGACTGACCAAGGGACAGTGGAACAAGTATGTTGAGTAAAAGTTGACAAAGATTTGATTATTGACATCAAGGTTTGTGTTTCAGATGCTTTTGCCTTGCTGTTTGCAAGAGTTAAAGGTGTGGGTTCAAGTCCCCACCATCTGGATAAAAGGTGTGGGTTCCAGTCCCCACTGTCTGGTTAAAAGGTGCAGGTTCAAGTCCCTACCATCTGGTTTGTCCATGTATTAGTCAGACACAGGTGCAACTTACTCAGTTCTTAACACAATAGAAGGAGAATTAAGGAATGACATTGCAAAGGTTATTGGTGTGATGGGGGTTAAATTGGGAAAACAATGGGTAATTCATCAGTTTCTTTATTTGCCAAACTACCCTAAACCTTTGCTAGGAAGAGATTAATTGGGAAACTTGAGCCAGAAATTAAATTTAAAAATGGGGATCTTAAAATTGTAATTCCTGAAACTAAATATGTCAAAGCAGCAGCTCTTCTTGTACAGGTGATATGGTTTGAAGTTGGCTCCCTGTCAAGTCTCCAAACCTTGCCACAAGAAGTGTCCCCCTCCTTCCCCCCAAACCTCAGGGAGAAGAGGGAAAAAACAACCAAGAAAACCGAAATGAGAGAGAGACAGTTAAAGCAATATATATAAATATATTTACACATGTTACAGTTATATACAATTGAAATATATATACAATTTCACAAGGAAAAGGGAAAGGGAAGGGGGAAGGGGAAAAAAGGAACAAAACCAAAATAATATATATATATATATATATCACGATCAGTAGTCCAAGATCTAGCAACTAAAAGAATTAGCAAAAGACTATCTTACTACTCTCCTTGGGACAATGGAGAGTCACACTGGAACGATCGCCGGCAACCTCCATCTCCCAAGGTCGACAAGGTCTTACAAGGTCTTGCTCCCCAACACGGCAGACTCAACAGCAGGGAACCTGCACCTCCAAGCCACTGGAAGGAAAGACAGCGAAGGCCTCTCCTCCTTTCTTCTTATAGCCTGGTTTATGTAAAAATCGTAGAAAATACTGGGTAAATCTGGGCACTTCCTTGGTTACAAACTGGTCACCAAGGAAGGTCTAGACCAAACTACCACAACAGGAAATAAATCCAGTTAGCAGCAACATCCGGACTGAAGTTGAAGATGCAGTTGTTCCTATTGTGTGGACCAGTGGAATTCCAGGAAAATCAAAAAGGACAGAATCTGTAAGAATCACCCTTAAACCAGGAACTATACCGGTAAGGCAAAACCAGTATCCTTTAAAATTAGAAAGCCAAGTTGGATTGGTTCTATTAATAGACAAATTTGCTAAGCATGGTTTGCTGGAAAAATGTGAATCCGAGTACCCGTAAAAAGAGCAAATGGGAAAGACTATTGATTAGTGCAGGACCTGAGAGAACCCCCTTAAATGATAACCTAGAAGAGTTTACAGTATTAGATTTGAAAGATGGAATGGGGTAAGAGTGTTGGGGATATGTGAAGCTACTGTGCTAAAGGGTGAGGGAATAAATGCAGTTGTTTCTAAAATCTACATTTACTATATAATTGAAATAGAAAATGAAATAAAATTTAGCTATTTAGTAATGTAAGTGTGACTTTGCAAAATGTAAAACTGCCTAAAAGTTTCTGCCCAAACTGTGGGCAATTAAGACAACAATAGCTTAGAGAATAGGGAAGGTTTTTTAGCACGTAGAGAGGGGTGGGGAACCTGAAACTACTCGAAATGATAAAACTTTATGTAACTACTCTATAATGGTAAGAATAGGAGGTAAAAATAAATGTCTGTTTAGATAAGGTAGACTGCAAAAAGAGTGTGTGTGAAGATAACTTTGAACTTGTTACTTTCGAACTGTATAAAAAGCTATGGTATTTCTTGGTTCGGTGGAGTGCACTGGGGAGAACACCTGCCCCTTTGCATTCCCCGACCGTAATAAAAGTGCTTTTCAGATTATTCAGAGGTTTCTTTGAATCAATTTGGCACCCCAGATGGGACCAGATCTCTGCTTGCCGGTGAGGACCCTCCGGAACCGGGGACCCTCTGCGCGCCCCGGGACGTTACTCCAGTGAGGCTCCCCGGGCTCCACTGGATCACCACGTGTGGTGGTTTGGGCTAGGTCTTCCTTGGTGACCAGTTTGTAACCAAGGAAGGGTCCAGATTTACCCAGAATTCCTTACGATTTTTACGTAAGCCAGATTATAAGAAGAAAGGAGGAGAGACCTTCGCTCTCTTTCCTTCCGGCGGCTTGGAGGTGCAGGTTCCCTGCTGTTGAGTCTGCCGTGTTGGGGAGCAAGACCTGGTAAGACCTTGTTGACCTTGGGAGGCGGAGGTTGCCGGCGATCATCCCAGAGCGACTCTCGGTTGTCCCAAGGAGGGTGGTGGGATATTTTCTTTGTTAACTCTTTAGTTACTAGATCTCGGGCTACTGATTGGGATATATATATATATATATATATATTATTTTGGTTTTGTTCCCTTTCCCTTCCCCCTTCCCCTTCCCTTGTGAAATTGTATATATTTTAAATTGTATATATATTTCAATTGTAACATAAGTGTAAATATATTTATATATATCACTTTAGCTGTCTCTCTCATTTTGGGTTTTCTTAGTTGGTTGTTTTTCTCCCTCTTCTCCCTGAGGTCTGGGGGGGGACTTCTGGTGGTAAGGTTTGGAGACTTGGCAGGGAACCAACTTCAAACCATATCACCACGGGAGTAGATGAAGACCCTGTGCACAGGTATACAAATTTTAAAGCACAAGTATACAAATTTTAAAGCACTCTTTTATTTTTCCCTAGGGTTTTGGGAAGGAAACCGTAAGTCGTACGCTGGTTTTTAGGGTTCTGAGCTTGCTAGCAGCTAACAAGAGCAACACCCTTTTAATAGTAGGTTCGAGTCCTACTGGGAGGATGCATGTGGTTTTGATTGTGAGTTAAAGTCTCACCAAAGCTATACCAAATTCCTCGGGCTAAGAGGAATTTTGGGCAGAGGGTTGCATCCTTCTGACTATGGGTTAACAGTCCCATTAAAGGGTGGCATAGGTTTTTGATTGTGAATTAAAATCTCACCAAGGGTATACCAAATTCCTCAGTCTAAGAGAATTTGGAAAGAGGTACAAATATTTTTGGGTTTACCATTGTGGCTAGATTTGGGACTTGGTTTTGGAATTGCGATTGGTAATATATTATATCTGGGTTTGTTTTTTACCCATCTGTCTGTGTTCCATGTGTTTGCTGAATTGTATTGTTTGCTTTTGTCTGTGAGTATTGTCTCTTATGTCATAAAATTACTGTTGTATGTTAAGTAAGCAAATATTGGGAAATTATATTTGTTTTCATATATGTTACTGGTTTTCTCCTAACCACGGTAAAAGGACTACCTTCGTGTGTTTACGGGAGATAGTAGTTTTATGGTTTTGTGGTTTTATGGTTTTAGGGAGAACCTTAACACTCATTGTTTGCAGGAATTAAGCCAGGGAGTTTGCTGGCCGCTTGCAGATGCCACAAACTCCAGGGCTGACAACCTCTGAAAGTGCAAACCCATATCTTTGCTCAATTTGTAAAATTGTTCACCTCATACTTGTAATCTGTGTTAAATGTTGGCAATTTTGGCATGTTAGGGGCAAGAGTGGCATTAGGAGATCTTAACATTGGAATGGTTAAGTTTAGATACGGTTTTATACAGTATCTAAGAGAGAGTAACAAAATCTGCAGGTAAAATAAGGTGAAAAAGGAATAAAAGGTAGTTCTTTTCTCATTAATACTTAGATTGTGAGATTGTTACCTTGTATCAGTAAGTGTGGGGCGTGGTTATTTTGCCAACACCTAAGAAAGGAGTTTCTTATTGCCAGACTGAGGATTGCTACCAGACAAGAGATACTTGAACAAGCTAACAGGGTTGACTCAGAACTTTCCTGCCTCAAAGCTGGTGCAGTGTGTATGGTGTGTGTTGAAAGTATATAACTGAAATTTGCAGATAACCACGAGTTTACATCTGTGCAAAGGGCACGACTAGAAACAGGTCAAAGCAAAAGCTAAAAATGGGAAACTGGTAAGGAAAACAAGAGGTTGATAAAAGTCCATTAGGATGTGTCTTAGCACACTGGAAAGAAATTGGGGAATCTCAGGGTGAGATTACTAACAAGAAAACTCTAATCAAATATTGTTCAGAATGGTGGTCCCTCTATAAAGTAGAGGAAGGAGCAAAGTGGTCAAAGCACAGATCATTAGACTATAATATTTTACTGCAGTTAATGTTGGTTTTGTGAAGGCATGGAAGATGGAACGAGGTGGTTTATGCTAATATGTTCTTTTACTTGAGGGAACACCCAGAATGGCAGAGGGAGTGTGGCATTAATTTAGCCCCACGAGACCCGTTTGTTCTAACATTAGAGAAAGAGAATGTAAAACAAGGTATGAGAGAACTCAAAAGATGTTGTTCAGCCTGCTCAATAGGACAGAGATGTTTGAAATATACCAACAGGGAGTTAGAAAGTAGAATTAAAGATTATGTAAGTCCCTTTGGAGAAAGGGCAAATGAAATTGCCCCCCCCTCAGGACCAAACAGTAAATTGTCCGCATCTTCAAGACAGCAGGGGAGGGAAAGAGACGGAGAAAGGGGAAGAAGGGAAATTTCTTACTCCCCATCCTTATCTCCCCTGAGCAGGTGGACACACAGTAAAACGAGAGTAAAATCTGTCTCCCCACATACAGAGGTCAGGCGGACTATACAAGCCCCTTTAAGAGAGGTTGCAGGACCGGAGGGGCCTATAAAACTTAAAGTCAATTTTTATATGGGAGATTTAGAAAATTGGAAGAATATTGCTCGTAAATATAGAGATGACCCAGTTGGGGTAGAAAGACAGAAATTAAGTAAAACCATCACAAAGGCAACCATCGCCGCCCTGGATAAAAGAGACCATTGCTCTAGGAGACCTGTACGGCACCCTGGAAGTAGTGACCATCAGAAGTTGAGACCAAACCAATGTGCAATTTGTAAAGAAAATGGACATTGGAAAAAAGAACGCCCTCAAAGGAAGCAAAAACCTATTTTAATGGCAGATTTGGACCAGGATTAACAGGGACCGAAGAGTTTGCCCACAGGGATCCCTTGGTTATAATGGAACTGGGGAAAAATAAACATAAAATAGAATTTTTTTTTAGATACTGGAGTAACATTCTCTGTGTTAAATCAGGAATTAAACATTATGGACGATGTATCTTTGAATGTGATAGGAGCCACTGGTCAAGTTGAAAAAGTATCTTTTATGAAACCACTAAGTTTTAAATTAGGTAAAACTTTACGTATACATAAATTCCTTTATATGCCTCATGCACCTAAATCACTTTTGGGAAGGGATCTATTAGAAAAATTGAATGCAGAAATTAGGTTCAACAATGAAGATATGCAAATTAAAGTAAAAGAAAATTAATTAATCAAAATTTTAAGTCTTGCTCTAATCCAGCCACAGATATCGGGAGAAGTACCACCAGCATTATATGACCAAATCTACCCTGGGGTTTGGGCTGACGGGACCCCAGGAAGGGCCAGACACACTCAACCTGTAACAGTAAGATTAAAACCTGGGACACGGCCGGTAAGAATTAAACAATATCCTCTCAAACTAGAAGATAGAAAAGGAAAATTGTTGAAGAGCTCCACCTAGTGGTAGCTAACCCATATACACTTCTAACTAAACTAAAAAATGAATATGTATGGTTTTCTGTTTTAGATTTAAAAGATGCCTTTTTCTGCTTGCCTTTGGACCCTAAAAGTCAAAAATTTTTTGCTTTTGAATGGGAAAACCCGGATACAAGAAGACGATCATAGCTCACATGGACTGTTCTTCCACAAGGATATAAAAACAGTCCAACCATTTTTTGGAGATCAGCTTGCCAAAGATCTTGAAGAATGGACTACATCTTCAGACAGCGGAGTCCTCTTACAGTACACAGGAGGAATGTGAAAGCTGGATGTCGTGACGAGGGAAGAATGAGACGCTCAATATGAGAATCAGCAAACTTCGTTTATTGATCACTACTAACAGTTTCATATACACTTTATAATTAGCTCATACATATTGCAAAACCTAAGCTCATCATTGGTTCTGCTTAAATGTTGACCTCATCTCTTACTCCTTAACATTGTTGACACTTAGATGTTAATTCTATCTTTCACTCCCTTCCTTTGTTGACACAGGTGGCTTTCAGTTACTTTTTGTTTTGCTAATCACAGTGTCCTGTTTACCAGCCAATTAACACGTACAAGGGCACTGTAACCTCTCTCACGGGCCTAGACAGGCTGTGTTCTATACT